CAGAGGAACAGCAAGCTGTGTACCTGGCAACAAGCCTGAAGGGACAACCACTGGAAATACTTGGACAGTTGTCAGCAGACGACAGGCACAACTATAGAGCACTGGTAGCGGCTCTAGAACTCAGGTATGGAACCCAAAATCAGTCTGAAGTCTACAGGGCTAGGTTTAGGACGATAGTCTGTGCTAAAGGGGAGAGCCTGCAAGAGCTGGCACAGGACTTGAAAAGTATGGCACACAAGGCCTACCCAACTGTGCCACCTAATCTCCTCAAGTTGTTGCTGAGGGATCAGTTTGTAGATGCCTTGGACAGTCCACAACTAAAGATACAAGTAAAGCAAACACACCCCTCTACTATGCAGGATGCAATGGCCAGAGCTCTCGAATTTGAATCCTACGTTAAGTCCAGCACAGAGGTACCAAGATTGGTACAGTCATCTGGATTCAAGGCCAGAAAAGATCACCTTTCAGAGAGGTTTGAGGGACTTTGCTGGCACCGTAATAAACCTGGGCACAAGAGAGCTCAATGCTGGCAACTTCAACACAGGGAAGATGCCACTGCAGGAAAGGCTGCTACCCAGGAAGGTTGTTGGAACTGTGGAGAGCAAGGACATATGAGGAGCCAGTGTAATAAGAATATTACCAATAAATTCCTCAGGGAAACCAGTAGTGGTTGGAGTTGAGGTATGCCCACCAACCCCCACCGTGAAAGTCCCAACAGCTAGGTGTAAAATGCCAAGCACACATAGGGTCTATGTGACAGGAAAGCTGGATGGCCAAAAGTGCACCTTTGTCATAGATTCTGCATCTCAGCAAACCCTTGTAAGTATCAAGATGCTGGATCACAAAGGAGTACCAGAACCTGTACAGAAGCTCTGTGGTGTAACAGGACATTCTGCAAGGTTGTGGGGACCAGTATGGGTAACTATTGAGCTCATGGGTATAAAGGACAGACACAAAGTATACTTGGCTGATATTGAAGACCAATGTATACTAGGGTTGGATTACATACTACCAAGGAAGATTGTAATTAATTTTGATAAAATGACGTTTGGATCGCTAAAGTTTCATCCGAAAGAAATGATACGGGAAATTAATAAACGTCCAGAGGCGTAACAATATTGTCCTTTCACCCGTGCCTGGCTAACAATACATAAGTTAGAATGACGCAGCTCACGTGCACTCATGTTACCGTATCAAATAACATAAAACTGACCTTTGGTCTGGGCAAAGTAACTTGTCTTGGCTGTGTTTTAGTCAACTAGTATTTTGTAAAATACAGTCACATTTCAATTATTATACATTATTGCTATTTTGAAATAAGTTCTTAAAGATATTTTTCCTAAAACATAGAACAGTAAATAAAGAAGTAAAGCAAACAATTATCTCTTCTAGTTACGACCTTTGTACTAGGTTGCTGGTTGATGTAGGTTGTTAAGCCTTTAAAAATTTTGCACTTGGAGGATATAAAACAAAATATTTTTTAGATTTTATATATATATATTTGAATAACTAAAAAATCATAAATTACTACATCAATACCATAGAATTCAACTATAATTTATGAAGCTTAGTAACTAACATGTATTTTACTGTAAAAAAATATTACATTTCGAGCACACTAAAGACACAACCTACCTCGTTGAAATCTTGGTTCAAAAGAAAGGAATGGCGCTAGCCACATCAGAAAGGCTGAGAAAACCACTAGTGGGACATTCTGAGTTTCTGATTGGTTATTCATGTCATATATAGAAGTAAGTGTATGTAATCTTGGTTCAAAAGAAAGGAATGGCGCTAGCCACATGAGAAAGGCTGAGAAAACCACTAGGGGACATTCTGAGTTTCTGATTGGTTATTCATGTCATATATAGAAGTAAGTGTATG